ACCACCCTGGTCAACGAATCCAATGTAAACCTGGAGGTGCTGCAGAAGCTCATCGTTGAGGACGGCGTGATCAAGAAGGTGGCCATCGACTCGCCCACCGTCCACATCATGGATCTGGAGAAGCAGGAGGAGGAGTCCCTCTGGCCGGAACCCTTCAGGACGAGCAGGGAGAGGAAGCAACAGGTAAGAAATGAACAATGGCATTAACATCTGAGGCCATCCCTGAGAGGTCTATATTTTCTAAATGAGAGATGCTTGGAATTGTATGCAGGCAAAGGAGCAAGAAAGGATGAACTGTTAAATATACTTCTGGAGGCCATATCTGAAGGGAGCATATGGGAAGTGCTGGGCATAATGTTGCGGAAAGGAGAGGTTAATTAAGGATTAACAGTGAAAATAATTCTTTGAGGCCATCCCTGAGAGGTCCATATTCTCTACATGGGAAATGCCGGGGATAGCGTTGAGGAAAAGGAGCAGATGAGGGTTAACAGTGAAAGCAACTTTTGGGGTTATCCCTGAGGGGTCCATATTTCATAAACAGGACAAATTGGGAAAATGTTTCGGAGAAGCAGCTTAAGATGAATCGTCAATTAAATTTTTTAGGCTGTCCCTGAAATATCCATTCTCCTTGAACTTTACAATGTGTTGGGTGGAATTTTAAGGAAATACACACCTCACAACATGTTTTATTTGTTGTTTTTCAGTGCCATTTATAACTGCTTGAACGTTTTAACAACATTCAGATATTGATGTTAAATGTCTGATTCAAGTTTATGTGACTCTTTTTGGTCTGACTCAACTTATTTTGATTTGTTTAAAGAAGAAAAAAGAACTTCATTAACCGTCAATAAGAATCGTCATCTTAGTCTATAATTCAAGGGTTCTCTTCAATGGATTTTAGGCATTCTCTAAGTTCTGTACCTTCATTCGCACTTTTTCTGACATAGCTCATTTTTGCTTCTCCACTATTATTAGTCTTGGGACATGCCAGAGAGCGCTAGCTCTGAGGAGGTCGAGATGGGAAGCGAGGAGCTGCAATACTGGGAAGACTTCAAGGACCACGTCAAGGCAGACATTGCCATGGCACCTCAGCAGCTCTCTGCCAAGCCCAAGACCATTGCCAAGATCATCCGCAAGAAGCTGGGAGACTCCATCATGCTCTTTGCCCCCGAACAAGAGCTGAAGGTCTTCTTCGACGGCCACAACGTCAAGGTTGAGGTGAGTTCTGAGAGAGGGTTGGTTAGTAGTCAGTTTGGCTTGCTAATGGTTTTTAGCTTCCTGATCATGGCTGTCTGAGTAGTAATAAGCTTGCTTGTTACTGACTCCTTTCGTTGTGGTCTAGGCCAAGTCAGACGCTCTTTGACCCAAGAGTTGATAAATTGAGGTGAGTCCAGGGAGAGAAGGGTTAGTGCTCAGTTTGGCCTGTTGATGGGTTTTGTCTTTATTGTTTGGCTTGTTATGGGCTTGTTTGTTGATTGCTCCTTCCCTTTTGGTCTTGGCCAAGTCAATTATGATGGTTGGGTGGATGTCACTTGTTCATGTTTGGACATCATTGCTGTCTTGGTCTTGCCTGTTCAGGTAATTATTAGCTTGCTTTTTGTTGGCCACTTGGTGCATTCTTGTGGTTGTTTTGGTGCAGTGGATGTTAGGTAACCACCTTTACGGATGGCCAGTGCTGTCCTAGTCCTGGAAGCCTTGCCGCAAGTTTGATGGAAGCCTTGCCGCTAGCTTGATGGAAACAGGCACCAGAAGTCTCTCGCTTTAGTCACGCTTGCTTTAATTAGTAACTTTCAGACTTTCTTCCCTTTGTGTTGCTTATTATAAATCAAAACATGGGAGTTAAACATCTGATAACACTTGTTGATTTACACAGCTGCCTCTGAAGTACAAGGGCCTGCATTGCGGTCTGTGCGGTGATTTCAACGGTGAGGTCTCTGATGAGCTGGTCGGTCCAAACAGGGAGCTGTACAAGAACCCTCATCGCTTCGGACGTAGCTTCCAGCACACCACTGAGCAATGCGCTAAAGGTATATTCAATATTACAGGAGGTTTTGTGGTTGCTCTCATCAAATTATACAACTCATGCACCAATTGCTAGTGTTGCGAATATTTTCATAATACCTATAATTATAATCCTGTCAATCAAAAGGTCGATCACATTCACAAACTGAATATCCTCAACATAACCCAGAGTCGTTGTATCGAGTAAATTGCCAATCACTAGTCAAATCACAAGTCATATCACTGATGACTTCTGGTGTTATGACCTCAATTCTTGAACGCCTGAAGGTCTTGAATATTTATACCAAAAGTCTTTATACTTAACACACTAGACGCTTGATCTGGAATTTAAAAAAAAAGGTTATAGTGTACTAATGCAGTGTTTGTTGGGCTGCGTACCTTTTTGCAGAGGACCAGTGTGCTCCGTCAATGGAATTCGCTTATGACACCGAGATCAGCCTGCCAGGCAACAAGAACCAGTTTGCCTGCATCACCAAGACCCCTCTGCCCCGCTGCCTGTTGACATGCAGGCCCTCCCAGGAGGAACCTGTAGACGTGGAGCTAGTCTGCATCGAGCACGAGGGCACCACGGATCCATTCGCCACCAGTAGCCGCGACGTCCTCATCAAGAAGTACGGAGCCAAGACGGCCGACTACAAGACAACCTTGCCGATGGCTACTAGGTGCGTCCGCCAGAATTAGACCCATGCGACAAAGATTCTTTCGTGGTCCTTGAGTATATAAACCGGTAACACATGATGGCTTAGCATCTTAAACAATAGAATCTCATCACCAGCTTTTCAGCATGCATGCATAGATCCATGATTTTTAAAAGCATTTCTTTATATAACTCTGCCTTTGTCTGTGTGAAATTTTGTGTAGTATTTCTGATTTGTATTTATCTGTGTGTATCCAGTATGGCAGAAGTGCACTTTTTGGGGCACTACTAGACCTGGTTAAAATATTGCACTTGTCATTGGTTAAGTGGGTAAAGATTTGCTTGTACATTTGATTTGTTGCTGTAAGGAAAGTAAAAATGCTTTAGCTTTTAATTAATAAATGAATAAAAAAACAAAAAATACCTGTAGATTTGTGGGTTTTAAAACCTAGTGAAGTAGATTAATTTTACTAGATTTTTTTTATGGAGCAAAAATATGGTCAGTATTAAAATTCAATTTGATCAATTTCTTCAATTGTTGTCAAAAGCATTTTAACCATTCATTTGGTGTTGATGCAGGTGTGCATTTTAGAAGAAAATATTACACAAATTAACAAAAATTATCACCATCTGCAGTCTGGCTATAATTGATCAATATTGAATTCCTGTGTGAAATATATCATGTGTAATATTAATTTTTTATGTATTCATTGATTTTTATGTATTCATTTATTGTGTTCCTGGAATTGTCTGCGTTTCCTTTCCCTTTTTGCTGATAAAGTGAATAAATTTGATAACCGGATTACTTCAGCATAAAAAAGAACATGTGTTAATTTTTTTTTGGGGGGGGGTGTTTGAAAATGGAGCAGGGACAGATAGGCAGATATACTACTGGACCTGTTCCATTTGGGGAGGGGGAGGGCAACTTGGGGAGGGGTAGAGGCCAATTTGTAATCACACAACCTTCCTAGCATTTGAAAGATGTTTGCAAAAGGTTGTTCAATGCTCTACCCAACAAAACGCAGACACTCTGAAATCTTAAATCCCGGTACAGTGCTCATAGAACGGTACAGTGCTCATAGAACGTGCAAGTTTCGCCAATCCACTTTTTTTCTGAACGTCTTGGTACCAAAACACGCCGACTCCTGCGTCTGAATTTACCCGGTTGTTACCTGCGTGATCGATTGAACGGAAGTTGAGGTCAACATTTCTATTTTTATAATGGTAATCAATTCGCAATATTTTCAATAAGTTGTAAATTGTAATGCTTTCTTTTTCTTCGAAATACCCATTTCTTTCCCTTGATTGGATGGGCCCAGTCAGGACACGAAATAAATGGAAAACATTGGCTGTTACACACGTTGTAGATCTTATACATGGTGCCCGGATGTGCTGTATTCTTGTAAAATCTCGCAGGTTTTTGAGGTGAACTTACCCACATAACTGACGGCCACCCTGAAAATTATACCGTCTGAAAACACTCGCCAATGTTCTACTGAACTAATGTCCTAATAACGAAAATGATGAACCATGAAATCAAAATGCAGTTTGCATTTTTCAACTGCAGAACATTTAATTAAAAACTGAATTGCTAAAAGGAAGAATGCAGGGTAGTCTTGTAATGCTAACAACGGATAAACCAATCATGAAATGGACAAGTTGGCCATGTGACCAATTTGAGCCAATAGGAATGTTTGAACCGTTATTTCTCTGCTCCATTTGGAAGATGTGTAGGGAATTAGTTTGCTTTCTCAAAACTGTTTGAGTTCGCATGGCATTGAGGATACTTACAACCCCACTGAAGTAGAGAACTCAAACAGTTCCCAAAATTGCAACAAGCATTTGCGTATTCGCTGACAATAAGCATGAGAGCAATGCAAGTGGCACAAACACAGGTTGAGCATAATGTTAAGTTGTTTAGATCTACAATGTACAGAGCCACAGCCGTGTAAAGCTTGAATGTACATCTGTGAATCGGTGCTTCCCCGTTTTATAACAATAAATGAATAATTTCTTTATATAAATCGAAAATTAATTTGAACCATTTTACAAGACAAAACCTCTTCGTTATTGCCTACCGTAACAGACCAATACATCAGGCCCTGCCCACTTGCCACTCCAATGCCCCACAGCATTTTCCAGCCGCGCACATTATACTTAGTGCACGCACGGATCCTCTACACAAGGACAAAAGGACTTCCCCAAATTTCTGGTTAGAGGCATGATATTGCACTTGGGCATCGTGTGTGCGCATGCACGAGATTTGGTGCACGACTGCAGTCGTTCAGGGGTCAAATTTCTGTCAGGATGCCAGCTGTCAGCGATCATGGCACGGCCGCATTGTTCTATGCGTTGTTCTTTGCACGGACGCAGCATATTACGCATGTAGACAAACCATTTCGTACATTTGTACACAAGCTCAGATGAGTCATTTATCCTTGTGTAGAGGATCTGTGGTGCATGCATGCATGTTGGACTTTTCTATTCACGAGGCTTTTGTCCAACATGTCTGATCAATCACAGCTCAGTCAAAACAAAAATTTCTTCAACTTTCTCTCCCATGTATTGGTATACAGACTAGTAAAAAAAAACTAGTGACTAGTCAAATTCCATCAACATACAAAGGAGGTAACTGGTACTGTAGGTGTACATCTGGCGTATCAATCACCTCCAGTCAAAGCATAAACAAGGCAATTCTGAACTGTTAAAAACAGTCACTTGATTGATTTTGACTGCTGTGATGGCGTAGCTGAATTTGCCAGCCAGAGAGGGAGGGTTCATGGCTGTGAGTGGCACAGTCAAAACATTACAGGGTGAAGCACAATGGATCGGTCTATTATGAAATCAACTTCCCTTCCCTCCACGCTGGGCTTGTGAATATTCATGTCGGCCTGGCAGCAGGTCCCTGGATCTCCGAGTAGAGCGCCCCCAGGGAAGTCTTGAACTGCTCCAGCTCCATCTCCAGCGTGGAGATGCGGTCCAAGGTGGCGAAGAGTTCTTGTAACTTCTCCTGGATGGCTTTGCCGTTTCCCTCGTACATCTGGAACATTGCCTGCTCGAGGCTTTCATAAGAACTGGATGCCTGGGTTTTTTTTGTAAATGAAAACAAGTGGTATACTAGTTTAGCAAGCTTGAACAATAATAGGGAGCAATTCATAACACTTTTTGTGTTTGATGGAATTTTGCAGCTGGGAGATGCAAATTTTATTATGTGTTTTTCTTTGTTTTTCTCTTGCTTTTTAGTGGCTTGTTTAACCTCACTTTTTATACTAGGAATTTCCAGTAATTGTAAGCCATTTCCAATATGAAATATAAAACTTTTTTTTTATTTGTGAGTTTCATATAATCTGTCACTCAGAACAAAACATGTTGATTTTGTTCTAACCAGATATAAGACTAGTCTTTAAAAGAAACAACACATTTATAATTTAAATAACACAAGATTATAACAACTTAAAATTAATTTAAAACAACCTTATGACAAAGATATCTTGAGGACTAAAATGTCATGCCCTCTCAAAGGTCTATAAAACTATTTGTAATTGCTAAAAAAAATAAAAAAAAAAAAAACTATTTGTAATTGCTAATTGTACAAAAAGTTTCTAAGGACCAAAAGTAATCAAGTCGTCAAGTCCATTGTAAATTTATCAAATCACAATTGAGCTGGGCAAAAGCAACAGTAGATGCACCCTGAAAAAGGAAAACTTCAAAGCTATGATATCTCTTGAGGGCTTGTTAAGATGTGCGAGTTGCGCTCAGGCACTACGCATGCACTCTGGGCTCCTTTGACCAATAGTGTTACCAAAATGTGGGAGCGCCTTTTCTTTAAGAAGGTGTGCATTAGCGTGGCATCACCTCAAAAGTGGTTTCTTATTTTTGTTTCGACGGATGACACCATTATCCTCCTCGGAGGGTTAAACTTACTTGTAGCTCCATCGCTTTCTTGAAGTCAGCCAGCAGAGTCGTGTCCCTTTTTCTCTTGGCATTGATGTCGTTGATCAGTTGCTGGGTGCGCTGGTTCAAGATTTCCCTGTTGACGGAATTTGACATTGGGGGCATCTGCTGCGTCTGAGGCATCTGCTGTGCTGAGGCCTGCAGCATGGAGGTCTGTGGGAACTCCTGAGTGGGGTTGGTGAAGCTGAGCGGGATGTCACTGCAAGCTGACTCAGATGGAATGCTGCATGAAGTTAAGGAAGAAGAAATTGTTGGTTTTTTTTTACTAGGTCTAAAGTTTTATAGATAAAGTTAACGTTGAATGTAGTTCAATTGAAAAATTGAATTAACAGGAATATACATCATTTGCTTTTGCTGTAATTTTCAGAAATGGATGGAATTGGGGGGTTGGAAATATATAGCAAATATAGTTACACTGACTTTTTTGAGGTTTTGGGTCCGAAAATGCTATAAAAACCAAGAAAAACAATCATTTTCCTGTAGTCTGGTTCCCTGACTCCATTTAAGAAGAAACAGAGCAGTTTACATACATTGGGGAATTGTAAGGTCAGGGAACCAGTCTAGCTGGCTTGTACCCGTTCATGTGTGTAATCGATTGCAAACAAGTGTGATGGTCAACTGGGGCCAGTATTTGAAAAATAGCCAGTTTTTTTCCAACGCTGGTCGGCGGATCAGCATTGGAAATTGATACAAAGATACCACTTTTCTTGAAAATGACAGTGTACCAGGTGCCATGATTTTACAGGATGCTTTACACTGTCATTCACTAACAGTCCAGCAAGGTATTTCAAAATGATTTGGTAGTTTTATTTTTTGATGTTTGCAAATATTGTATTTTCCCTTTAAAGTTTATATAGGGAACCGGTCCCTAATTATTTCGACTCTTGTGCAGGCACTTCCTCTGCACATCCACATGTATGATGAATGTGTGCACAAGATAATCAATTTGCAGAGTGAACGTCTGGCTCGATGGGGAAAGTGCTGGACTGTGGTTCCAGTCACCCAAGTGCGAGATCAGTGCCTACCATTTTAGGCCCCCCCAAAAAAATATTCGGTCTCTGGTCAGACCAAAGATCCAGAATTGACGTTTTTTTTTTTTTTTTGCTTTTTTTTTTTTTCTTCAAGCTTGGATTGTACAGACAAGGTGGGGTACTATTTTGCTTTTTTGGTGTCCTCATGTACATTGGTGTCCTCCATAATTTGCCTTGGTGCTTTCGATCATTTGCCTTGGTGCAATTTCCCATTCCTTGGTGCTCTTTGGTAAAAAAAATTGAGGGGGTGCGGAAATAGAGGGCGCTGTTGGAGCTACCGCAGAACATTTTGGGGAAAAAAAGATCGACGCGGATGATTAAAATCGACGCGCGCGCTGACCAGAGACCGACTTATTTTTTTTTTTGGCCTTACATGTAATTTTTTTTTTTCTATTTGATTTTCCCAAAAGTGCAACAACTATTCTTCTTCATCCGTGGTTGTAAATCAAACCCTACATTTAATTGTCAAATACATGTATTTCAACTTTTTTTCTAATTGGCGGCTCTAGAGGATTTTTAGTTAAGTCTGAAATTGCATTAGGTCTGATTCCTGTCCCGGTACAAGAGGTATTTTCAACCAGGGGAGAATCCGACCACGTGCTATTATTTATTAAGCACAAACTTTGGGTCTGACTAGGGTTGATTATATGGTGCACACAAAGTGGGTGCGTGGTCATTTAATAATTAGATCTCGCACTCTAACTTACATTAGGCAATGCTGGTTTTCAAATATGTGGTCGAATACTCCCCCATAGGCCCTACTGCCAAAATGACAATTTGTGTTTGTCGTTTGTTTGGTCATGATGAGGCTACCTTTGCTCAAGAAAGTCAGCTCTGTCCGGATCAAACTCTGCCTGGCCCTGGCCTTCACCAGACACTGGCTGGGCATGCTGGGTCTGTTGCTTTGGAAGACTTAGGCTGTCCATTTCTGCTGCTGCTGAATATTCTTGCAATGTTTCCATGTTCTATGAAAAAGCAGTTCAAACTAAAGGGAATTAAAATGATTGGTAACTAGAGACTAGGCTATAGCTAGTGTTACTGTAGTGTTAGTATTAAAATACTCGTTAGAGTAGAGTGCCAAACACTCAGTTTTGTTGACAGTGTCAGTCACTAACTTCATCAATCATGAACTTAGACTCATTTGTGTTGTGAATAAAGTAAGTGAAAAGTTAACTAGGCCTAAATTAAATAGGACTAGCTAGGCCTTATCACTATCATCAGTATCACATCAGCATGATCAGTTACTGGCATTGGATTTGCCATAGGCATAGACCAGGTTGGACGACGTCTTCATTGCATTATGACTAGCATTGCCCTTGGTCACGTAACCGCGTAAGGCCTACTTTCTCTTTCTTGACCGCCCAACTTTTACCCAAGTTAACTAGCCTATTCCTACGTTCATCAACTTTTATATCGCAAAACTTAAAAGCTGTAAAACTGTTGAAAAAAAAATGCACATTGATTGTTACCTTGTTGTTACAGCTTCAGCATCAGAGCAGACGAAAATAGGCCTTCGCTCTAGGTACACAACTACTGGGGGCGCTGTTTTAAAACTTTTGACCAATAGTTTTTCATTGTACATATCCCGAACAGAGTATATTTAAATTGCGATTTCGTGTTGTTAGATAAGAAGATAAGAATACCTTGTTTGGGACTCAACAGTCTGCCACCGTTAAACTACCCCGATTGGAAAACAAAGATGGCTGCCATCGTGAAGTCTCCGAATGATACACGTGAATATCGGTAAGTCTATTTTATCCCGTAGAGTAAATCGTAAAGGTAAAACTATCCGATTTTTCATGTTAATAGAAAGTTCAAACTTTAAGATGTTAAAAAATGTCCAAATTGTTCAAAATGTTCCCCGCTTGAAGAAGGTCAAACGATTCAATTGGTGCCCAATTTCCGGACACGTGTGTACACTATGTAGGTATGTGTCTGTCTCATTTTAGCCACACAATGGCAATGCCATATGTCCCGTTTCTAGTGGAGCAGAAAATCAATTTAAGATTGGAATTATTTTGTCACTTATAATCATAATTACACAATCCCGTCTAGATCAACTCAACTGCTTAATATAATAATAATAGGCCTATTAAACTAAAGCAAAATAATGTTATTAAATTGATTGGAAAAAATGTTGCAACCAACATGTAAGTGACGCCACTTCCGCGATTGATTGTGTATGAAGTCTATGGAGAGTCAAGAATACTTTCTAAATTTCCTAACAACATTGGAAATGTTTCTCATCCCAGATTCATATCTTATCATTTTTGCAATGCAATGACTGACATTCATTGAGCATGTTCATGATGTTGAGATGATATATGAAGAAAAAAGGGGCGTCAGGTTGAAACATTTTTCCCAATTCATTACCTACAGAGGTCTAGTTATCTTGTAATTTCGGGTTGAATATTCTGACAAGTTTCTGCTGCCATTGTTCATGAAAGCATCATGCTGCAATTGTGCCCTCACTAGCTTACACCAAATTTTGGCAAAGTGCATCAGCGCGGTACGGCTGTTGCCTGTCATTCAGTATTGGTCAAAAGTGCATGTATGCGGCCTACTTAGAAAATGTTCTTGACCCTTCACAGACTTTGTACACAACCACTGAAGTGGTGTCTGGATACCACATGCTTTCCTTTATCGAAAATAAAGAGGGGCTCATAACTACACGATTGCCATTAGGCCTACTTGAATCTTCCACTTTCTAAAACAAAAATCTCCCCAAAAAGCTGCCTTGGTTTAATGGTTGATCCATAACTCTTTAACATTTGGGAACAATAGTTTTAAGGACCTCAGAACTAAAATTGTTTTGACAAATCAGAGTTTTTACTCTCCACATCTGTATTTAAACATCGCAAATGCTTCACACACTACTTGATGGAAACCATTGCTGATCGTTGTATGCAGGCCCCGTTATTTCGGATCAGTTTGATTTTCTACAGAGCATGTACATAGAGAGGGCGGAGATATTTTTAATTTTTCCAGTAAAAATGTTTAGCCAATATATATTCTTCTGCATGTTGGAATAACTTATTATAATCTGTTTCAAAGTGATTGTTGTATATTGAATTAAAGGTTATAAATTGTTTAAGCAGTCATGTTTTTGAAACTTTTTTAGGGTGGTTACATTGTCCAATGGGTTGACTGCCCTCCTGATCTCTGATTTGGCTAAACGGGGGCAAGGAGATGAACAAAATGGCGCAGCCGAAACAAACAGTGAATGCAAGGCTTCTGACGACGAACAGTGTGAAAATGATGAGATTGCAATGGAGGAAATGGACGTTGGGTCCACCCCCGGGGACCGTACCATTGGATCATCAGAGGCCCCCGATGTGAACTCAGATGCATTGGAGGATGGGTCCTTTCCATTGTCCGATGGGGGAGCAGAGGATGAAGAGGACGAGGAGATGATGGAAGAGGAGGAAGATTGTGAAGATGATGCTGAAGCTGATGAAGACGTTGAAGCGAGATCAGTGCGGAAGTCACAGTCCAAACAACCAAAGCTGGTAAAGGCAGAACTTTCATGATGTCATAATCATTGTGTTGTAAGGCCATGAAAAAACAAAAATTCTCATTCAGGCTTTTTGAAAAAAGGAAGGAGAAGGTCCCCTTTTCTCCCAAGATGGATTCTTCAATTTTCTTGACTTTTTTTGCTGGTACCATTGTGTCCAAAGAAGCCATCACCCTTTCTATCAGAATTGTACTTACAAACAAAGCTATTTTTTTTGCTGAAAAAAAAAACCCCAAACTATATTGCAACTATACGATTAACAAAAAGAAAGGAGGCTCAGGCAGGCAAGAAAAAGGAGTGGGCGGGGACGAGAAACTGGTTTAGTTTTTTTTTTATTACTTGGTGTTACATCAAATTGGGTAGCAGTGCAGTGAGTGAAAAATAACATGCCTGTATACCTTTAGTGTGCAGGCATGGGGTGAATGTCACTCAAAATGTGAGGTCACAAAAGTAGATCTGGATAATGTAGACTTAGCCCCTAAGAGCAGAAAAACATTGAGAGCAGCTCAGCTTAACTAATTTAGCTAAAACAACTCTCCATTTATTTTCAAGAAGGCTCCATGACATGTCACCAGATAAGTTTAAGGGCTTGCTTCAATTGTAAAAGGACACATTTCTTCAGCCCTTTTTTCACCACGCAAAGGTACAGTTCGGGGAGTCACAAATTATTAGAGTAGTAGAGTAATATACAGAATACAACGTCACATTCACTCAACTTACATTTGTATTTTTACAAACAGGGGTTTGCGTACCCAGAAAAAAAGTAGTAATATTAGCATTGAATGACGTTCAGAGTACCTCAAGAGGCTTCCGGAGAAAAAAAGTTAACATCAATTAATTCAAACTTTTTTCTTATGTTGTACAGACACAAAAGGCATTTTTGTTTTTTAAATCACAGGACTAATTCAATATATTTGTATTCTCTTATCTGCCATCGTACATTGACCCATGATGTTAATGTGTAGGCAGCGGCAGCTCTTAGCATTGGTATCGGCAGCTTCTGTGAGCCAGATGATATACCAGGACTGGCACACTTCCTAGAACATAGTGAGTCATTCCAATCACTAGTCATCATCCTTTTGTAAAAAAGTATTAGCTTAAAGGTAGTATGCAACACTTGCTTTTGCTTTAATTTTCAGAAATAGATGGATTTGGGAGTAAGTATTCTGTAGCAAATAATACCTGTTTAAAGTTTGTGTTCATAGATGATGGAAAAACCAAGAAACAACAATTCTTGTAGTCTGGTTCCTTGACCCCACTTTAGACGAAACAGAGCGATTTATAGACATCAGAGAATTGTCAGGTTAGGGAGCTAGACTAGCTGGCTTGCACCCGTTCACGAATGTGCAATTGCAAACATAATGTGGACTAACTAATTTGGTAAATTGGGGGCAGTACTTGAAAAAAGTCAGGTTTTTTTCCAATGATGGTCGGCTGATCATCACTAGAAATTGATACAAAAAATTTCACTTTTCTTGAAAATGGCACACCAGATGCCATAATTTCACAGGATGCTTGAGACTATTTACTTACACTCAAGTTAGGTATTTCATAATAATTTGTTTTTGGATATTTGCAAATATTAAATAACTTGATCCTTCAAATTCTAAGGGGGGGGGGGATTTGCATGAGAAATACTTCCCAAATTTGAAACATTGCACTATGTATTCTGCTCAAGTGCAGTGTGTTCCATTCATCCAAAGCCCCGTTAAAACAAACTTAGACTCAACTGTTTTGTAAACAAAACAAAAAAACTGATAATGAATTGTTAAAAATGATGGGTATATCAAATCGTGTTTCATTGACAACCAACATTATTTCATGATTTGAAGACTACCCTTGCTGTTCATAGTCTTGATGCCTGAAAGATGACATGGATTGTTGTGACTTTACGTAGACCTACCTGATATTTGATCTGGAACTTATGGTGATTTTTATTTAACTTTTTTAATGTATTAATTTTTCCCTGTTTTTGTAGTGGTCTTCATGGGAAGTGAGAAATACCCAGATGAGAATTCTTTTGACGCCTTCATCAGGACGCACGGGGGTTCAGACAACGCCTCAACAGACTGCGAACGGGTAACTCTTTGCTTCTCAAGCAACACAGAATTAAATCAATGAATGCAAAATCTGTTAATTAATGATTTATATTCCTGCTCCTTGCCACTTTGGGGAGTGATGTGGCCTTGTGGTGTGGAGCATTGAACCCATGGTCTGAAGGTAATTCTGCAGGTTGTGGGTTCGAGTCCAGCCTGCGGCTATGGTGCGTGTGCCCTTGGGCAAGGCTTTTTGTCACTCATTGCTTCTCCCCACCCAGGAGTAAATGGGTACCTGTGAGGGCAGAGATGGTTATTGAGAGATGGTTATTGTGATTGATTTTTGCTGCTTTGCCCCGAAATGGCAGAATCAAGCTGAATACTCCCAAGGCCTATGGATTGTTTTTTTTAAAGTGGCTCTCACATACTCCTCAATTTTTTGTCTTTCTGATCCAGACAACCTTCATCTTTGAGGTTCACCAACAGAGCTTCCGCGAGGGGCTGATGCGCTTTGCCCAATTCTTCACGGCACCTCTCCTAAAAGCCAGCAGCACGGACAGGGAGCTGGAGGCAGTAGACAGCGGTAAGCCAAAGCAAGTCAGAAACTGTATGCAAATATGTTTCAAGTTGGGGGAGAAGGGGAAGGGGAAGGGGGGGGGGGGGCAAGTGGGAAGGCGGGGGGGGGGGGGGGGGGGGGGGGCAAGTGGGAAGGCGGGGGGGGGGGTAAGTGGGAAGGGGGGGCAAGGTTGGGAAGTGTTGCATTCAGAACTTGTATCCCATTTTTTGAGTGTGTGTTTCTCTATTAAGGTAAACTCTTATGTACACTTTTCATTTTTGGTAAAAGAGTCTTTGGTATTTGGATGACCCTTGTTTCAGTTATAAAATATTATATTAACTTTGAACCCTGTGCCTATTTCCTAGGATGCATCCTCAATAATTCAGTTTTCAAAATCCTCCAACTGTTCCCATGTTAAAATTGAATACTTTCTTTATCTTCAAAAATCATCCGTTATTTCTTGAATTTGTTCAGTGGAGGGCTGACCAGTGCCTCCATCCTTCAAAATTCTCCAAAACACTTTGACATGTAGAATGTTCAAGCAGTGCAGATGGTATTCAGTATAATGTAGGCCTACATTTATATGCAATGGGCAC